TGTTGCAGAGAAAACATGCTCTGATAAAACTGAACAATTTACTTCTTATATTTTGTGTTTAAGCTTTGCAAGGCATTTTCTAACCAGTTTTCCTGATGAAAATGAAAGGATTTTTAAAAATGTACTTCATTTTACCTATTTACATCCCATGTAAAATTGCGAGTTCAAAAATACTTTTCCACTATCACATATATTACAGAATATCTAAACTGTTACAAGTATAGTAAAATACTTTTTTGATTTCTAAAGATGCAGTATCCTTACAGCTACATTTTTTTACTAAAACCTGATTTACTGCAGAAATTGATCAGAATTGAAGCCTTTTCACAGTACCATGGGCATGACGGCAGAAACATACATTAGAGAGCAACTGTTATGTTATAGCAGAACTGTGAAAATACAACTATCTTTAAATTTCTTTGTGCACTTCTCCAGTTACAGATCACAGGCAAAAGCATAATACAACAACATGAGCTGGTTTCTTAAGGTAGTATTTTCTTTTACAGCGCTTATTTCCAATTTGAAATTTTCCTGATTCATTTTTTAAAAATAAACTTGTTTTTTTACCTGCACATGGGTGGAGGCATGTGGAAGCGCTGAAGTTCATATGCACGAGGGTATGGATGAGCATGCAGGAGTGGGGCAGATTTACTGAACCATCCTAAGACTTGTCTGCCGTGGATGATGCGGTTTTACACACTGACCTTTCCAAAGTTCAAACTAAAAAATAAGCAGGATATAAAAAGTGAAACTATCTCTGATTTTGAGGTACCCACCTTCAATAAAGGAGAAAGAGGTATTTTCCATTAAACAGTATTTATTATCAGAAGATAAATTTATAAATGGCAACTCTAATACATTTTCAATGTGGCTAATGGAAAATGAGACTTACGATCACTGTCATTCCAATTATTAAAGTGGAGAAAGGTTGTCCAGCTATTTGTTCATGCTCTGCACTGTGAGTTTACCCCAAACATCAATGCCACTGACGTAATCTTCAACACTGTTAATTTTGTTATACATTACTCCAGCAAATAATCATATATACAAGTCAGTCTAAATCTATTCAATTAACTGTGTAAGCATGATAGAGAATAAGGAATACTGCATCTTCATCTCCACGTATAAACTGCTGTTGCTATGAGCCAATTTTACAGTGCTGGTGCACTGTAGAACAGGTGCTCAAAAAACAATGACAATTTCAAATTCAAAAACTGCTTGCTCCTTACATTTTCCTAGAATGCTGGCTTCTGAGATTTCCTGACAGATCACTGAATTATAGAATGGTTTGGGTTGGAAGTGATCTTACAGACCATTTAGTTCCAACCCCCCTGCTATGGTCTTCCACTAGACCAGGTTGCTCAAAGCCCCATCCAACTTGGCCTTCAACACTGCCAGGGATGAGGCATCCACAGCTTGTCTGGGCAATCTGTGCCAGTTGAAAACAGTCCTTTTGAAAACATACAAAATCTGACGCTTTGTTGGCATAGTTTCTCTTGTAAGCTGTAATGGGCATGGCGGATGTTTCCCATTCTTACTTACACTCAAAAGCATAAATGTCTCACTTTCTGAAAGAATGGGACAGTCTGTATTTGTCTCTCCCAACTGCTCAATTAAGATGGACCTACTGTGTTGTGTCAAGATGAAATCTGGTATTTCTACATGCTACATATGACATAAGCCTTCACCATGGTTATGAAATGTCACGGACCTGCACTGAGATACCAGGATTTTTGAGGAAACTATCCTCCAGCAATTGCCCTTGGTCTTTGCACAAGCACACAAGTTTTGCGGGTCTGAACCACAGCCACTGAGAGAAAGACACCCCCAGAATCTGCAGGACGTCAGCTCCACATCCAAACACCCCTCTCCCACAGAGTAACTTCTCTTAAAATATTTCTGAAGGGGAAAACAAACCAGAAGACAACCTTGCAGAGTATTTGGGATCAAAGCCTGTTGGTGCTAGTATGAATAAGAAACTCACTAAGAACCATACTGGGTACTTGTAACCCAATGGTGGACTACTGCTGGTTGTGTAAGTTGCCTAGAGGTAACAGCAGCACAAAAAGCCCTTACATGTGTGCTGGAAAGGTTGAGGATATACTTCCTGCCTGTGAAAAAAAGAAAATTTAGTGTACACTACTTCACCTTTTGGCTTCATTCTATTACCATTGATGCACTTTGTAACTGTGTGCCTTGGTGCCAGTGCTGCTTTAATCCTGTATCACTTTGGAGTTCCTTGAAGACCAGACCCTCTTTCTGTTGCAAGTGCTTCCTATGCATAAAGTAATGGACAACCAGCTGAAAGACAAGGGATTCACAAACACCAACCTCAGCCATGGGAGACGAGCCTCCCCACTGTCTGCGATATATATGCTCCTCCTCAGGGCAGTTTGAAGCCAAATGCTAAATAAGTTTAAGGCCTTGTAATTTCTCTCCGAGTTTTTCCTCTCTTTACTGACTACAGGGGAAACCCGAAGAGGAGACTGGTCTCTCCCAGTTGTGAATCCTCCCTTTATGAATAACATCTGAGATGATCTCTCTCACTGTTCCTCTTGTATGCTAACAGAATGGCTGTAAGAGTTTCTGGTCAAATAAACTTAATTTTCTATGGGAGAAAATAAATCACAGATTCTGAAAGGAATTCTGTATGCCACTGGTTCTTCTACTGAATTACTGCTATTCAAGTAATTAGCCGGTGAAATGTTCTTGGGCAGGAAAATAGTTTTATCAATTGACTTTTACCTGACCTGACTTCTTTCCCTCAACGGTGAGAATGACAGATCCATTTAAGGGGACAATATAAATGTACATAAAACACAGACCTCAGACGTAATCTATGAACCATCTCACGCACAACACTGACAGCTAGTTTTTTAAACCAACAATAGTAATGCTGCTGGTAAAGACCCAGGTCTGCAGCCCCACAATGCCTCATGGCCTATCCAGAAACCCTGATCAAACACAGCCTTTTCACACTTTGCATGGACACATAGTGCCTCTGCTTTGCTCCTGATTTGGAGCCAGATACTAAAGTGTTGCCAAATTTGGTGGAATTTCATTACCAACCCAGTCAATGGGAATTGATAGACACATTTTTCCCACAATGGCTGTGAATAACTTGTCTTGGGTTTCTCTGCTGACCATTCGGCAGGGGGGAGCCTGACCTAGAACAGTATTGGAGTTGTTTCAGAGAGCTGATAATCTACCCAGTACTGGGGAATATTAAGAACATACTTAAAGACATTAAAACTCTGGGTCCTCTGAATGCTGTTACGAAGTATTATCCCAGTCATATTAATCCTCAATTAATTATAATTGTTTTCAGTATCTGTATGGTTATGCTGTGCTTGAAGATCACCTCGATTTCAGAATCCCCCCAACATTACTACAGCTACTTCAGGAATCAGAAATTAATTTGGACTGGTCAAACATTTAAAAATGAACAAGTGGCATCACAAGTTTAATCTGTGCAATTCCTGGAACCAAATATTCATAATTAAATGCATTGCAAAAGACCTTTATGTATACATCTTTCAGCTCTAACCTATAAAAATCTCAACACTTAAAAAATCTTGCCAAGCCTCCTCTTTGTCAAATTCAGCTGAATAGGCAGATCCTTGTGAGGAAAGAAAACAGAAAAACAGTATTTTGTTTGCATTAACAACTGATGACTAAGAGTTTCTCTCTTTCCTACACAATTCAATTAATACAAATTGGTTCACAATTACAGGGCTGTATGGGAATGATCAAGAATTTCCTTTTATTTAATCTGAAAAGGCTTGGATTGAAAATCCCAGCAGAGGCAGCCACTGGTACCCATATAAAGGACCATTTATATCATACCAGACAGCTGGCAAAATCTTGTTATTCCCTAACTCCCAGTGAGAAACATAATGTCTTGCAGAGCACCACTGCAGAAACATTTCTCCTTCCTACTTACGGTTCATCCTCTGAGTCCTGAACAATCAGCTCTTTCCTTTATCTTTCTTGCTTTCCAGACATAAATATTATGTTGAAGGAAATGAAAGTACTTAACTGTGGTACCTACCAGGTCAGTGAAACCATCAGAAAGATTAACTTAAACGAGCTTACGTGCTATTTCTGCATACCCTCTGTTTCTGTTAGTGTGGAGTAAATTATTGTCTTGAGAGCTATTTTACTCATTATTGCTTTTTCTCTGCAAGAGATGCAGCCGTTTCTTCTCTGTTTTGTCCTGTTGGTACATTTAATTCCATTTCACAAATGGCTACACCACTAACCTTGGTACCAGCAAGTGTAAGATCTAACTATTTCCTTTTGTCCAAATAATGATGGTGGGGAAGAGAATACCTGCATGAAACAATACTGCATGTTGAGAATGTAGTAGTAGTTTTTAGATGGACTCTTTCTATACAAATCAGAAACGGTTCTAAGTAAGTCCATGGTAAAATACAGAAACTTAATATTTTACTTTCAGCAGAGATGCTGTTGCCCCTTGTTTATTTTACATACTTCAACAACAACAACAACAAAAGAAAAGAAAGGAAAAAAAAAGATAAAAGAAGAAGGTTAAATGGCTGGTGTCCTCTAGGGCATAATGACAATTGTGGTACAATATTGAAATTCCACCATCATTATTGCAAAAGCCTGCTCAAGCGACCCTTCAGCTCTGACAGTGGGACCTCTCCAGCAGAATCTTCTTGCCTACTCACACGCAGCTTGTCTGTAGCACAGCTCTGGGGTAATGCTGACACCGGCCAGATGGTATTCAAAATGAGGGGAAACGATGGGATAATAAAGGTCTAATGGTCTTGCTTTCATCTTCATCATCATCATCATCGGTTTGTGGTGTCTAATCCTCCAATCAGCAGTGATTTTTCAGGAACAGAATGTCCGACAGCTGAGAAACCATACAAGCTATAAACACCTTTTTGTCAAAGGATGCAGCATGTAAAATAATGCCCATTCCCATAGCATTTCGGCTGCTATTTCCCAGGTGATTGTGATGACACTTTCAGGGGGTAGCCATGCTGAGGGGCAGGCGGGGTTAACTTCAAATGGTGAGGAGAAGAGTGGCACTTCTTTTCCTGCCTTTTTTTAATAATTTCTGTTACTATGTTTTGTTACGGACATCAGGGGAAGCCCTGAATGTTAACACTGTAGAGGGGGATTCAGCCCTGCTGAATTCACTCCAGATAGTTAAGAGACCCAGCTCTTAAACTCGGCTGGAACAGGTAGCGTTTCTCAAACCAGCATGTGCCTACGGCGGTGGAGCGCCAAGTGATCTGAGCGGGAAAAGCTGCGGTCACAGTCTGCACACTTGAATGGCTTCACTCCTGTGTGCTTGCGGTAATGCCTCGTCAGTTCGTCGGAGCGAGCAAACTTCCAGGTGCAGCCTTCCCAGGTACATTTGTAGGGTTTTTCTCCTGGGAAGAGACAAAAGAAAGAGGGGAAGGGGAGCAGAAAAACAGGTGGTGACTTCCCCTTGTTGCTCTTAATCCCTGCAACCCCCTCTGCACGCTTCCCATGAACACCCATTGCCTAGGGGTTGCTTCAGGCCAAATTACACAATTACGAGGTACCAAATCTGCTGAATATAGGAAAGGGCCTTGACATTTATCATTCCTGTGGCATTCACGTGACTAAGAAAATCAACAGGATTAAGGCAACAATATAGATCCTACCTTGCAGGGGTGATGCAGGGATTAACATCAGGACAAAGGGATGTGTAATTATTCTCAAGATTACCATACAAGTTTGCTACCCTCACCTTGTCAGGCTATACTTTCTCCCAAAGTAGCCAGATTACCTGATATTTCAGCAATTTAACACAGGCTGCCACAGACTTACAATTATTTGTATGAAATGTAGGAAGGTTTCTGATTATTTGTGCAAACAACACTGCAGGATATTTCTTAGCAAGCTGGTAAAAATAAACTACCATTTCCCAGCTAAACATAAAAATTCAATCTGTAAAATGTCCTCTATTTATTGCATTTACTTTCAGTAAAATTAATTTTGCATGTAAGATGTTACCAGGAACACTGTATGATTTTCAAATGCAGTCAGCCATGGGACTTGCACAACACTGTTGATAAATACCCATTTACTTCAATGTGCTCAGTCTTGGGTTAAGTGCAGACTTTTGGAAAATTCCACACTCTTGCTTTTTCTTCAACAGTAACCTTGATGTATGCCCTACGTTCTGTGCCATATCATGTCAGAGGAGAAGATTAATACAGCAAAACTGGATTTGGTGCTTTCAAACTGTTATAAAAATCCAATTTTGGCCATGTTTGTAGGCTATACTTATTTATGATTTCTATCACCATCCTTCAATGTCTGCATGCTAAATGCTCTTGGCAGTTACCTTGATCCCACAGTCGAGCATGCACCAAAAATGAGGAAACGAAACTGTGTGAGGTCCGTATGTATCTTCTTCTGGTGTGTTAAAAATGACTTTTTACCTCCCCTTCTGAAACCAGCTAATCACAACCAGGAAAACAAAACAGCATCTCTGCAACAACTGTTTCCTTCATCAGGCACAATCATTCCTCAGTTATTTATTATCTCTTATGAATCACGAGCAGCTTGCAAGAAACTACTTCAATTACATGAACCAGTGATGCAATACTTGCTTTGTTGTAGGCAGCACCTCCCTCCATGTGTCTCTTCAAAGCCAATAAACGTTTTGCTGAGAGCCCTCAATTTCAAAAGAAAATTCCCGAGTAAAAGTATCATCACGAAGTTCAAACAGCCTTGAAAAGTCCAGCTAAAATGGCCACGGGTGCCTCCGTAAGGAAACCGATGCTGTACAGGCATGTCAGCAAGGCTGTCAGCAACATTTGAGCTCCTTGGGTTGGTACCTTCTGTGCACCATCTGGGCTGTGCTGCAGTTTTGATGTCAGACGGGGGTGGGAAACAGTTGCTGTGAGTTGAACCCAGCAAACCAGGCTCCAAAGTGACCACAGCCCATAGCTGTACCAGCAGCAACTTAGCCCAGATAATTTTACAGTCCTTGTCCAAGCACAAAGCACCAAGTAGTGTTCATTGCCCTGGGTGGCCACATTGCTGGGTGCCTGGAATCCAGCAGCTGCTGTGAGCTGGACAGGCACGAGATACTTAACAGACGGCAGGTTGCATGCTCTTGCCAATGACATAGCACTACAAAATGTGCTCAGATTTGCCACCAAACTGCCTTACATATATCTCCTTGCCACAAACAGTTGGTGCATGGCACTGTACAAATATAGCAGTAACCCCATCCAATTTGGCAGGTCTATCCTAACGGTCTCATCACATCAACCAAGTGGAACATCCACTTTTAAACTCTTTTTGTTTAAACTCCAGCTATTGCATCGGTTAGTTTCGTTCACCACAGAGACTTCCAGAGCAAAGCTGGGGGATATTTCTTAAGCTCTAGATTCTCAGCTAAAAGCATCTGAAATTCTAAGTCTTTCCTACCACAGAGAATCACAGAATCACAGATTCATTTAGGTTGGAAAAGACCAACTGTTAACCCAGCACTGCCAAGTCCACCACTAAACCCTAAGCACCACATCTACAAGTCTTTTAAATGCCTCCAGGGATGGGAGCTACTCAACCACTTCCCTGGGAAGCTTGTTCCAATGCTTGACAACCCTTTCATGGAAGAAATTTTTCCTAATATCCAATCTAAACCTCCCCTGGTGCAACTTCAGGCCACTTCCTCTTGTCTTATCTCCTCTTACATGGGAGAAGAGACAAACCCCACCTCACTACAACCTCCTTTCAGGTAGTTGTAGAGTGCAATAAGGTCCCTCCTGAGCCTTCTCCAGACTAAACACCCCCAGTTCCCTCAGCCGCTCCTCATAAGGCTTGTTCTCCAGATCCTTCAACAGCTTCGTTGCCCTTGTCTGGACCCACTCCAGCACCTCAATGTCTCTCTTGTAGTGAGAAGCCCAGAACCAAACACAGGATTTGAGGTGCAGCCTCACCAGTGCTGAGTACAGGGGGATGATCACTGCCCTGGCCCTGCTGGCCACACTGTTTCTGATAGAAGCCAGGATGCTGTTGGCCTTCTTGGCTGCCTGGGCACAAGCTGGCTCATGTTCAGCTCTGCCAATCAGCACCCCCAAGCCCTTTTCCAAGAGCAGCTTTCCAGCTACTCTTCCCCAAGCCTGTAGCATTGCATGGGGTTGGTGTGGCCCAAGTGCAGGACCAGCACTTGGGCTTGTTGAACCTCATACCATTGTCCTCAGCCCATTGATCCAACCAGTCCAGATCCCTCTGCAGAGCCTTCCTAACCTCAAGCAGATCAACAATCCCATCCAGCTTGGTGCTGTCTGCAAACTTACTGAGGGTACACGCTCGATCCCCTCATCCAGATCATCGGTAAAGTTATTAAAGATATTAAAAACATCCACAAAATCCTTCCTCTTCAATAGCCCCTTTGGTACACAAAATGCCAGATCTTCTTTCCCTTCGTAGAAGAAAAATGGAGAAACGAATGCAGGAAGGGATAGTTGGTGAAAGAAATACCAGAAATAGTTTGTCCATTAAACTAGTATCACTTCAGGTAAGAAACGAAAGTCAGATGATGGAAGGACATGAGTGAGGGTCACCTGGCTGGAGTTCCCAGGTGTTGCTTCCAGCCTCCCTCCTCAATGAGTCCTGCTTACCCAGCCCCTACAGAGCTATGTGAAAGAGACAGGACTAACCACATTCCTCTCAAGCTATTTACACCACTGAAAGAAAATCACTCTTACAAGCTCAACCTAAGAAGACCTTTAATTATTTTCAATTAAATATGCATATAGCATGAGAAGGTAAAAAACAGGCAAAGTAGCATTACTTTGGAGACATTCACTCATATGTGAGTGAATGTCTCATCTTAAAAAAGCCACTGTAAAGAAAACTGTTAAAGAAAGGATTTTTAGTTAAGATTAATTAACGTTTTACACAGACCTAATTTTTAGGGGAAGAATAATATTACTTCTTTGTTAAACACCTATGTTACCTGTGGATGAACAAGTGCTAGGAAAAAAATGTTCTTCATAGGCAACATCAAACTAACTCTTAACCTTTTGTTAGGTCATGAAGACTGACCACTGAGTTTGTAAAGACCAGAAGATCAGTAGTTCAAAGGATGGAGAAAGGACCATCAGGAGCGGAATTGCTAGAGGATGGGAAGCTGGTGTCAGGTATCACACACCAGATTTGGCTGATGAATGTGAGCTGAAATTGTCGGCACACTCAACAGAGAGAAGCTGGACAGGGCAACCCGGAAAGCACTGAGGAGGTGGCAAAAACTAGCTTGTTAACTGGAAGAAACTAGCACCAGTGCTTATATATCTCTATATATCTATATCCGTTTCAAGGCTGGATTGCAGTGGAGTTGAAGTCAAATACTCAACCATTTTGACTCAGACACTTCTGCCTCTGCACGAGCACTTGAGCTCAAGTGTCTAAGAAACTCTCAGGTTCAAAGTGTGGGCACGTTTCGGCTGCTTCGATGGCTTGGCAGCCACCGGAGCAAGGGTGCAGGGTTACTGTCACGCAACCAGACACTCAAATTCTCATTCAGCTCTAGGGAGCAAAAGCAGGTGGTGCAAGTCTTGCCCATGGTACTGGAAACATGGGAATGAAGAAGACAAAACAGCAGACAGTTTTCGGAAGAAGGTTGCAAAAAGAGATGTAAGAACCTGCAGCCATTCACAAGAGGAGAAAAAAAGAAAACTGCAGAAAGATACCCCCCCCCGTTAGTTAGTTCAATCTTCTGAATCTGTATAGTTTTAGTCTTGAAGCTACCCATTTAAAAATAAATGCCTGAAGCTGTATTTTCACAAGAGCTTACCCTCCTCTACTTTTGCACCTGTCTTTAAGACCTCTATTGTTTGTCCTGAAACCTGACAAACGGATCCCAAAACACAGAGGAATTTTGTTCTGATGCTATTCTGCAGCTTTGTCTTGCAATGCATGGAGAGTGAAAAGTATGCCATGACATGGACTAAGTGAGACCCTGGCGCATGAAAAATTTCTTCTAGACAGTTCCCTGCAGAAAATTAGTATTTTCTATTGTTTGGGGAAGTTATCTATGAAGTTTTAAAGGTAGGACTCAACGCCCCAAATGCAACTAGTGATTTTTTAAATCTTCTATTAACAGAGCCTTCCAAAACCTTGCCTTTTGTAGTCCAGATGCCACAATACAGATTTGTATAATTACTTTTACCATTATTTTTCTTAGCCTACCATGGCTCCTCTCACTTAAGCACTTAAGAACATAGTTACAACTGTTACTCATTAAATCTCTCTAAACTCAAGCAAATAATGAATTAATAATGCTGAATAATGACCACTGTTCAGTCAATCCTTCCAAAATTTTTCAGCCCCCCCCAGCCTGTCTTCCCATATCCTTATTCATGTACTCTAACATCTTGAAGGTCTG